TGTTGTTGTTGTTGTTGCTGCTGTAATTGATGATGTTCAGTGAAGTGTTGTGGATCATGAAGAAGATCATCGGTCGATGCATCAACACGAGTTGTCCTTTTAAACGTATTTCGTTTTGATGCTGAACGCTGACCTATTCCGGCGGCATTCGGTACGAATTGTGGTGAAGATGATTGTGGTGAATGTGATAAATCATAATTAGTCGACATTGTTGTATGACGATCATCATCAAAGCTTAAATTTCCTGGTGTTGAAGTATCACCACGTAGTGGTTGATTTAAATGAGTATAATGTTTAGACACGGGTATACCTATAAAAAATATTATTTATTTTGCATATTATTTGATTAGTTTATATCTGTAGCATTTATTCTTTAATCTAATATTTATTTGCACTTAAAGAATATATATATATATATATATATTAAAATCATTGATTACATCGAGAATAGAACTTAAAGAAAAAAGAAACTAGGAAGTATTCACATTTCCGTAGGTAATGTTCCGGAATGTAATATTCTCAAATACTTCAGTTCGACCAATTATATTTTCAATAGTCTTCAATTGTTCTATGAGTTTTCCATAGAGAAGGAAAGAAAAACATTTTTTTTATTAGCTTTTATATAAGAAAATGATCATTTTTTGACCTTTATATATATGTATTATTAGTAATAATCATAAAAGAATGGTAATTATTAGTAAAATTATATAAAAAGACAAAGATGAATCAAATCTCTAGTTGTTTGTTTCCTTTTTTTTGTTGTTGTGTTACTTTGAAGACTGATATTATTCATTAAGAATTAGTTTACTCTAGATTCTTAATCTATTTTTAATGGAAATTTATAATACTATAGAAAAAAAAAGTGTTGAATAAGATCAAGGATCATGTTAATTAAAATATTTCTCTGTTTTCTATAAATTTTGATGATTTAAGATTAGTCAAGAAAATTATACTGTCAACAACACATATTCTATATGTTTTAAATAAAACACAAACCTGTACGCGGATCGGACATATCATTGTAAGGTACTGGTGACATGGATTTTTGTGCATGAGGTTGATTAATATCTCGATAATAATCTGAACGTTGTTGTTGAATAGAATTCGGAGAAAATGGTGCTCCACCAACCTAAATTAATTTGTTATTTTTAAATATAAAATAAAAAAACTAAGAATAAATTTACTCTTGTATTTGCATTCCAATTATTGGATTGTGATGGTGGTTGACCTTGATAAACTCCACCGTCGAGAGAAAATGGTGGATTGGTTGTGACTGAAGTTGGATGAGATTGAGATATATGTGATGGTAATGGTATTGAACTATTTGGAAGATAATTTGTTGGTATTGGCAAACGACCATTAGGTGGACTAATACTGATATGATTACTTGACACTATTTTTCCATCAACTTGTTTATCGATATCTAATATGATGAACGGTTGAGGTTTTTCTTCGCCTAATAAGAGAGAAAAAAAACAAGAATATATATATATGTAAGATGAACTTTTATTTTGTTAAATTTTTAATAACCTGGTTGGCGAAAATCAGGAGCAGCTGATTTTGCACTTCCTCGAGCTTCAATACTATCACTTCTTGCTTGCTTAGCATAAATTTCAGCTGAATGAGCTTTTGAACGTGCATTATTTGCCCTAAAATGAAAATTATTTATTATTCTTATTAATATCTTTTGTTTTTCAATTATTTTACCTAGCCATTGCAATTTCCGCTTTTTGTTGTGCAGTTGTTGCAGATTTCGTTGAATTATTTAGAGCAGCATCAATTTTATCACGAAATTTTGCTGTACGAAGTAAAAATAATTTACTTGGCTTCCGTTTATCGGTCATTAAAACATTATTTTTATATTTTCCCTCCTCCTTAGTACCATCGCGATATGTTGTAACTCCATAACCATTCTTTTTATTATTAAACCATTCACCTTCATATTTTAAACCATCAGAACGTTCAGCTAAACCAAATCCAGTACGTTTATCAGCTTTCCATTCACCCATATATGTTTCAACGACATTACCATCAAGGATATCTTCTTGAGATATAAATGAATGATCACCATCATCTAATGTCCCTGTTGAATTTGGTGTATTGGGATGTGATGATAATATTGTAGCTGTTTTAACTGAATGTTTTGAATCACCACTAATTGTACTTGCTGTTGAACGAAAAGAACTGGTTTTTTTTGTTATTGTTAGATCTTCAATATCACTGGTCGATTTTTGTTTACGTAATTTAGATAAAAGAGTTTTACGTAAAGAAATACGACGATCGGCACTATTTGATAATGAAACACGACGTGGACCTTGACTAGCACTACGGGATGATGAATCATGTGGATCTGACCTTGAACGTAATACAAATCCACCACGATTTTCATCCATACGTTTGTCTCGTTCACCTAAATAAATTTTTATTAAAATAATTAAAGAAAATTAAAAAACAAATACTTACGTTGTGTTCGTTCATCATCTTCTATTGAACGAAGTGATGTTAAAGAATCTCGTATATCTTTTGATCGATAACGTGACGCAAGACCGTATGGTACACTTCGTCGAATACCAAAACCGTGACGGAGACCTTGCTGTATCTGACCATGATAAACACCACCATCTGCATAGATTTCTACTCCATAACCATCTTGAAGTCCATTTGCCCATGTACCTTCATATCGTGCGCCTGAAATATCCGATACACGTACACCATATCGTCCTTTAAAACCTTGTGTCCATTCGCCTTTATAAATCCATCTTCCTTTTTTCTCAACACCCAATCCATGACGTTTTCCACTCATCCATTGTCCTTCATATGAGTTTCCTGACGGCTACAAGAATAATAATAATAATAATAATAGTAATAATGATAATAATAATGAATATATCGATATATATATATATATATATACAATCATATAGATATAAATAAAGGATTTTAAAAAAAAAACAAGTAAAAAAATATAATTACCCATAAGTAGATGCCCGAAAATTCATAACCATATTGCCATGCACCAGAATATTCACCTTGACCTTTGGGACCTGTACATACACCGTGTCCATGTGCTTTACCATCATTCCATCCTCCACAATAGGTACCGCCGTCGTCAAAATCGAAACGGCCTCCATTCGCTCCGGCGTTCATCCGGGAGTCCGTTCAATGATGATCAACAGTAGCGGCAATAGCAGCAACATCGACAACGACGACGACGTCGATGATAGTAGAAGAAGAATATTGAAAAAGAAGAAGTGGTAGGGGGTCACACAGAATTATTGTAGTAGCAGCAACAGTAATAGTAATAGTAATAGTAGTAGAAGAAGAAGGAGGAGAAGAAGAAGAAGAAGAAGAATGAGAAGGACGACGGTGCAACTATGATGTTGTGATGAGCAGTAGCAGCAATTTTGAATGTGTCGTCTTCACAAGTCGATCAATTCCCAGCAAAACACGGCGATGCACAATGATGCTGCCATGTGCGCTTGGGCTAAAAAATAGTAAATATGAATAAGTGGAAGGAAAAAAAGACAGAAATCACACACACATATATATATAACATTGCCCGAAAGACAAAAACCTCGATCAAAACTCTTCTACTACTTGTTAGCTATTTTCTGCAGTCGTGTCACACATATTGTTTTTCTTTTTTTTTTCTCGTCTACAAACACAAATGTAGACAAAAGAAAAACATGACATGAGTTACACATCCTCAATCAGAACGATAGGAATTTTCTGGTACGAATATTGTGAAGAGAAAAAAACAATGAGTTTTACAAATTTTCTGATCACACACATCATTACTTATCAATTGTCAAAACAGTGTTTTTCTGCCTGCTGTCACATAATAATACTACTGATGTCTGCATCTCAGCGATCCTTTCTTCTTTTTTTTATCTATTAGAAAAAGAAATATCTATACTTGAAATTGCATCACAATACAAGCGTGTGTGCATAGAAAAAGCTTACTCGAAACAAAGATGGAAGACGATCAGGAAGAGAGAGAGCGAGCGAGCGAGAAAGAGAGAAAGAGACTTGGTGGTGGTCTCAGGGTTTTGTGTCGTGCGCCTGTTTATTTATTTTTGCTTCTGGGTTGCGAACGCGTTACACACGTTGGATGCTCCCTTTCTCCGTCTCTTTTCTCTCTTACAGGCAGATTGCAGGCAGCAGCAGGCAAAGAAGAAGAACAAGAACAAGAAGAAAGAGACGAAGAAGAAGACGCTAAAGATGTAGAAGAAGCAAAAGAAAGAGAAGGAGAAGAAGAATAAGTCGAAGAGGGAGATGCAAGAAGAGAAATACGGAAGGAATTGTCGTCGGTCGTCGTCCTCGGCTGATTGCAACGCAAGCGTGCGGCACAAGAGCTGAGAAACAGTGCGAGTATGCCAAAGAAGAGAGAAAAAAAGAACAGAAAATGGAGAAATATTAAAAATACTAATAAATACGCCACATATACGACGAGAACGAAGACTATCGTTAATGGTAGAAAAGATCTCAGAAACGCATATATATATATATACAGCAATAGCAACAAGAGCAGAGAGCAGAACAACAACAACAATAACAACAACAAACGATGATGAGAAGACTGCTGTTGTTGATATAGCACGGTGATAGAAATATAGCAGTAATACGTTGTATCAAGGAAAATGGACTCTTACTCTCGCTCTCTCTCATCGCTATTCTTTAGCAGAATAAATGTGGTGGGATAACAAAACAGATAACTTCTCATTCACTAAGCAGAAGAAGTACTAGTGTTTCCTTTCAATCCATTTCTCTTCTTTTCTGTCTGTCTTTCTGTATCTCTCTCTCTCTTTTTGACACATCTTCTTTGACGCTTTTCCAGTTTCTAGTGTGCATAGACATATACCGCATTTCTTCATGTATCTATGTATATATGCGACTGACACACATACACACACACATAAAAAAGCATGTCATGCTTATTCGATGTGCTACTCTTATACTCATCAATGCCAACCAGAGAAGGAAATGCCTTTATGAATCGATTGTTCGCTCGCTCGCTCGTTCGTTCGTTTGTTCGTTCTTTAATAGTACTGGTAGGAGGTGGTTTGACGAACATGCAAGGAAGGAAAACTCATCTAGCGTTTTTTTCTATCACGCACGCCCCCAAGTCACCTGTTCGAACCGTGTGTGTCATCATCATATCGGCATACAAAGGAAAAAAAACAGTAGACTGATAGATAGAAAGACAATCTCTGTCTTTTCTCCGCCTTTGGTTTGGATAACAACATGGCATTAGTATCAGCAATTTTTCTCGTCCCCTTTCTATCATAAGTCAAGGTTGGACATTTGTAGCATCAGAAAAGAAAGAAAAAAGAAGAAGAAGAAGAAGAGGGACATGATAATTTGAGCAAGGATATATCATGGATCATTGATAAATGCGCAATGGGAAAACTCCATTAGCGGTTACGGCAACGATATCTGTCGCGTCTCAACACATTCTTATTCAATACAATAACGAAGAGGAATATTTCATATTCTTGATTAACACAAATAAGAAATATGTATAGATTTGTTAAATCAATTATGGAACTTTCTATAATCTTTTTGATAATAATAACCTTGAACATGATTGGAATGTTCATTGTTATATATATCTATATGTCATATAATTTGTTCTTTTGTGTATATATACAATACAATGAGACAACTGGGTAGATAGTTCATGGTAGATGTATGTATGCATGCGATATAAAGTATAAGACACGGCACACATACAAAATGACGACAAGAACAATCTTTGAACAAACAAAATAAAAATAAAACGAAAGAAAGAAGGAAGGAAGAGAAAGATAGATAGGTTATGCACACGTACAGTTGCTCACTTTACGTTAAGCTTATACTGAGAAGTTCACGATCATCATCACCTCCTTGTACAGTCTCATCTTTTCTCTATCTTTTCCTTTGAAAGTGCATATGTAATGTAAGTCCATTCATTCTTTATTTAAATATGATATAAAACGGAGAGTCTTTTCTTCTTCACATCAAAAGAATAGTTCATCTTATCTATACAATCTTCTCTACTATTCTATTTCATTAATATTCACAATAAAAAAGGAAGTTCTTCTAAAAAATTCATATGTTTTCAATTTGGTTATCATTACTGATAGTTCTATCAGTCAATATCATTAATGTCATAAATTTACGTTGTAATGAAGATATCGATGGTTCTTTGCAAGTCATCGAAAATTGTCGAGCTTGTGTTATTTTTATTACTCCTACAATCTCACCATCGATGAATACAACAAAGACGACAACAGCAGCAGCAGCAACAATAATAACAACAGCAATTTTACCAAGAAATATATTTATATCAAATGTTGAACCATCAATAGAAGAATTATTTTTATTTGATGAAAAGAAACGTCGACGCCGACGCCGACGACGACATAATGCCAATACAGAAATACATCAACAATGTGCACGGGAAATCGATGGTCCATTATATGGTTATGATCAAACACATTGCTATTGTAATTCTAATCAATGTAATTCAAATATTCAACGATGTATTTATGAAGTAACATCAAAACGTCTTTTTGCATGTTATCATGGTTCAAATTCCACTCAATATCCACTTGGAATTTTTGATAAATGTCGTAGTTGTCGTATACGTACGGAATTTAATTCTATATACCATTACGAATGTTTAACATTTGGTGAACATGAACAAAATAATCAAACACATTGTACATGTCAACGACCCATGTGTAATCAAGATATAGCAGCATGCCAACGATTTCAGCCAGTACAATCTCATTTACGAACAAATTTAGGTTTTACTCTTATCTCAAATTCAACTACATTAACATCAACATTATCAACGAAACTGACTAGTACTTCAACTATAAAAATAACTACTACAACCACAACAACAACTACGACGACAACAACCACTACTACAACTACAACTGCAACTTCTACTACAAGTCCGATTGTGACTACAATCAATGAAACGACCATGACTGATACTGAAACATCGTTTACTAGTACAACACGAATCGAAGCAACATTATCAACTAGAATCGAAACTGAAGAAGAAACTTCAACTGAAAATTCCACGATAATTGAACTTACAACTTTAAATGAAAATACAACATCATTTATTGAAATAAAACATCTTAAGACAGTGTATATTGAAGTCAAAAATCATGCAAATTATTTATCATCAAATCATTATTTTAACTTTTACTATGTTTTAAACATTTTTATTTCTTTTTATTTATTCGATGTGATCACTAGTTTTATCTCTTAGACAGTATATATACATGTATACAATCATATATTAGTAAGAGGTATATATTTAAACAATGAAAAAAGCCATGTACAAGGTAAAAGTATATATTCATGCATTTGTTCATTAGTGAACAACGAACGATTGATCCCTAAGTAAGCTAAGAAAACAATGTCAACAGTCGCAGAGCCATTCTTAACAAACAAATAATGTCTATCGCGACTTGATTTATTCTCATATATCTATATACATATCTGCAGCTTACTAATCTCTTATCAATTTTATTTCTATCAGGAAATTTAAGTACGAAAAGAAGAAGAAGAAGAGATTTATTCTATTATAAGAACGACATTGATTTTTTAAATAGTTATAGAATACGAATCAGCAGAAATTATTAGTTTTAATATATATAATTAAAAGTTGATACTTACTGTAGAATATAATGGATTAAAACATCAAAAAAAAATGTAAGACTTATTCAAATTATGTATAGACAAATACAAAATTCTCTACATATAGCTATTCTTCATTAAAGTTTAAGATATATAATCATCAATAATATATGTATATCTCAACGAATCGAGTTTGTTAACACAATTAGACTTGATTTAATTTGCTTAACTATAAACGACATGAATCATCTCTTCACTGTGAATAGTATAATATATATCTATTCGAATTCAAGTTTTATTAATAATAAATATATGTAGAAAGAGAAAATAATAGTTTGAAAAACTTACTAAATATAAATAGTTTCCTTAATTTACTCAAATAATATAGTATGCCGGTAAAAGTTTTCATGCCAGTAAGTGTTCATTGCTCATTTTTTCTCATTTTTATATTAGTAACAATACGTCATCACAGGTTACATATCAACATATGCGTTCAATCTGTTTTTCCTTTTATCAGTAATATGACGACATAGTAGTATCATCTTATTTAACAAATGCGTTTGAAAGTCATTACGCCCTCTTCTTTTTTTTATGATTAATCTTCAAACATAATGTAAAATATTTTATTACTCCTATGCGTTATTTATAAACTATTACGAATGAATTTTAATAGAGAAAATATTGTTTGGTACTATGGTTATTCAAAATATTTGTTGTTTTTTATTAATATAAAAATCTTTGAGAATAAACATACGTCATAGAAGTGCAAAAAAAAGTATCGAGCGATGTTGATTAAATACTTAGAACTTATTCAAACAATTGTATTAACATTTAAATTTGATTATAAAATCTAAGAAAAGAAATACATTTATTATCCGTTAATACTTGACGCATATATTAGACGAGTATAATTTGAGAGAAATAACAACTATAATAACATAATTACTTCAGAGTTTGTGTAAATTTTGTTAGAAACAATAGATCACAGATACAATGAAACATAATTATTAAGTAAAACTAAAAATACTAATACTAAACAATTATTTAACTACAATCAAGATTCATTAGCATAATAAGGGTATTAACCTTAAATATTTTATAATCTATATAAGCGATTAGATTAAATTTAAATAATTATTACTCTTGTATTTTTAAGATTTAGAACTAATGATAGACCAGACAAGGATATGAAAATTGATGATAATCAATATATCAAATAATACTCTAGCAAAGTATAAAATAAGTATGTGATTATGACATATATCGACTGTATTTAATACGAAAATAATCTATTAAGTAAATAAGTGCAAGTAGTCAAACTAACAAGTAATACGTATTGATCAATAATGCACACGAAAGAATATTGAATATTTACAGAATTCTCCATTTTGGTTGAAAAGAAACATAGAGAATATGAGCTTTGATAATGTACATGCTATACTAAAATGCAAATTGGAAGATAACTGCTAATTATATTAAGAATAGAAAATAGAGCGAAAGAGAGAGACATTGCATAATAGTATAGTTTGTTGATTTTGACCTAGATATATTTATAGAAAAATTTTAAGTTAATCTACTCATCGAAAAATTACATTTTAATGTCGATTTAACGCGTCTATATTTAATACATTAACTTATTCTTATAATTTCATTGAATAAATCAAATATAATGTTTATTCATAACTCGATTTATTCAGCTATTTGATTACTAATGAATGTTAAACAACTATGGTAGTAAGTTCTCGATAGGATAAAGTAAAAGGATGATAAACATACTCAAAGATGTAATAGATGTTTTGCTAAAAGAGGAAAAATATTGATAGAAGAGTTCCAGAAAGAAAGACAACGTCACGGATAAAATAATTCTATCAATTTCTTCAATTTAAATGAAGTTATACAATACAAAATAAACTTTATTTAAATGAATATATATTACTATATCCAGTACTGTGTAAAAATCGTATTAGTTCATAATTTTATGAATAATGAATGATAATATCAATATGATGTACATGTGTACAGGTCTATAAAAAGAACAAGTTCAACTGATGTGTGTACGTAAATATTTAAAAAATAAACTAAAAAAAAATTACTTATAATAAGCTGTCTGATACGATTATTATGCAAGATAAGACCGGTAGTTTAAAGAGTTTATAAATCGATGAGATATAAATAACGATGTCATGTCTTTTATAATAAAGCACATTATGTTATTAATCGAACATTTTATTTCATAATTCATCAACAATCATAGAAGATCTAAGATGCGCATGAATATATTAGAATCGAAAGAATTCGTTTAATCTTTTTTTGAAGAGTGCATGACACTAGACTGGTGTCTATTATACTTGAAAATAAATAGATTTTTTTCTCTATTTTTCATAACGTTTCTAGCTGAAAAACTTGTTCTATATTATTTTTTTTTATTAAATTAAATTATTGAGTTGAATGATTGATTATATCGTATGAGATGTTATAGATTTCATGCGTTAATCAAAATCAAATAAAAATATTCCTAGTAGATTACTTAACTTATTAGTTATTTTTTTACTATAAACTGGGTGAAGAATATATACAATACAATATCTATATAGTTTTGAAGATTAAAATACTTATTGAAATCATGTAATTAGAATAGTTTTATTTGTTACTTTTGCCTAAATATTATCATCAACTATTTAACATGAATAGTCATTTTATACTGAGTTTTAAATCTCTAGTTGACACATTCGTTCTGATGATGTCGCTAGATAAAGTAGGTAATTTTATTGCTTAGAAATGTACAATTTCTTTTGACGGTTCTTCATGCACAACACAATAGAGAGAATTGACTTAATGTCGTCTATATATCATAGCTATTATTCAAGGAATTTATAGGACAATCTTATACAAATATAATCATGGCGAAAACTTCTAAAATAGAAGATTATTGGCGACAAAATAATATTGAAAATCTGTTAAAAGATTTAACACATGTTCTTGCACAAAAAATGCCATCCGATCCAGCTGTTGCTCTTGTTCAACATCTTCAAAAAAAATTTCCTAAATCATTCACAACAACCACAGATAATAATATAATAGATCCTGTTTCAAAAATTACGACTAATACTTTACGATCACAATCAATTATGTCACCACGTTCTGATATCAATATAACAAATACGAGTAATATACAAATGGATCGCCGTGAATCTAATCAAAGTCAAGTTAGTGGTATTGTTACTATACCAACAATTGGATCTGCTTTTAATAATCTAGTTAATCAATATATATAGATATTATTATATTTTATCTAAAATGAAATTTCTATTATTTTTTTAGACAGATAGTTCCAGACAAGAACCTGAAATAAATCTAAGAAGTCTTGTTTTGACTAGTCGTCTAGGTCAACACGTTATTAAATATGGAAAAGATATTCGATCAGAAAATGATATACTCGAAGATGAACTTTTAAAACCACAAAAACTAAACACAAATGTACCATCAATAACAACAACAAATCCATATAGTCACTTAGCTACTGAAAATCTTCAAAATATCCAAACACATGATGAACCTTCTGTAGAACAATTAGTTCGATATAAACAAAAAATTCGTTTTGAAAATGATCGTGGTGTTCAACATCGAGAAAAACTTGCTGAATTAGCACAAAAAGCATATGATAGAGAACGAATTTTACAACCAGAAGAACTTCCTAGTCCAAGCGAAATTCAACAACAAGAACAAAAATCAAGTGATGATCATACTGCATCAAAACCAAGTGATACCAAATCAATTCATAAACCCGTTGTTAAATCAAAAGAAGAGGAAGATATTTTAAATGATGAAAATGTATTTCATCCTAGAAAACAAAGACAACGAGAAAGAGATAACGATAAATTAAAAATAATAAGATCAAATGCACTCAATACACAGAGACAATCTATAATAGATTTGAATTTATCAAGAAGAATCGATGAAAATATGCTTACAACAATGCGATTTGGTGTATGTAAAGTATGTGGAAATATTCTAAGTAATGAAGAATTAGGTAATTATACTCAACAAGTTGCTGGTAAGATCATTCATTTAATTATTGTAGACAATCTTTATACCTTTTTTAGCTGAACCAGTGGGACGTTCAGTAAACCCAAATGAAACTATGGTTGATGATTGGTTTCAATCGTCAGCAGATTCAAACGAGTCAAAACCATTGATATCACCAATTACATATGATCAAACATCATCATCATTATCATCTAATATAAATCCATTTCAAGAAAAATATTTTCAGTCTATTCAGAATAATAATGTACAACATCTTCCGCCTTCAGTACCAACTATTTCTATTAATAATGGTAGGAGAATACAACGATCATCAACACCACGTTCAGCCGATTCTGATGTTTTCATAAGAACACCTTCGCCACAGCTTCACCTTTCATCATTACAACCACATAACGTACCATCAAAAACACATCAAACTGATTCCCTGGCCGTTACTAATCATCAATTATTCAAACCTATACCAAATTTACCAGCTACACCATCAATTTCAGCATCACCTTTAATTACTGACTGACGAATGTTAGGTTTGAGTGGACATGAACCTTAATAAAATGATTCGAATGAAAACTAATTTTCATAAATGTAACTCTATCCATATTCAAACATATATAGTAGTGCTTGAAGACAAAAAAAATAATAAGCATAGCCAAAAAAAATATCTGTCTATACACACACAAATACGTATAAGTTTCATTTGACTTTACCAAGAAATTAAAAAAAAGAAAGTAGAAAATATCTAGAGAGAGAAAGAGAGAGAAAAATAGTATTCATAACAAAGACATTGAGAAGTCAAACACAAAGAAATATCTAAGAGCAAGTCATACATGCATCGAACAACAACAACAACAAAAAAACAGATATGATACGTTTCATGTCGGTCGAACCATTCGAGATGAACTATAAAACAAGAAAATATAATCATATGAAAAAATGAAATAATATATACGTTTGTTTAATAAAACGATTTCGAAGATATTGAGGTAATTGAAGTACTGGTGATTTAGCTTCGATTGTTAATGTTGATGAAAATTCTACAAATAGAATCAATAAGATTTATATATATATTACTAATAGAAAATTTATACCCGATGTTGCTATATTTGAAGTATCCTGTAAAATAAATATCAAATTAAAGAAAAATATTAAAATAAATAAATTAATCATACTTGGATATCAGTACTTTCTTGTTCAAATATTTTCTCATCTAATTTATCCACGGATAATGATTCTTTTTCGATATTTGGTGATTTTCTCTTTAATACAAAACGATTTTGTTTTGTTGGTGTAAGAAATTCATCCATAGATTTTTGAATAATTGGTTGCGATAAATTATCACTATCATTATCATTATCAGTATCAGTATTTAATCTTTTAAATCGTTTATTACTAATTTCCGGTGAAGTTTTATCATTATCCGGTACAATATTTTGATCTTCATGAAGTGCATCAAATACACTTGTTTTAGTTACAGAAGACGATGAAAAAAATCGACTTGATTTATCATTATCATGTTGATTAAATAATAATGGTCGTTTAACAATTTCAATACTTTGAATTATAGACGTATGATATTCAACTGATGAAGTTGATTTTGTTGAAATATCAATTTTCTTTTCATCCGATTTTGGTAGATACATATTAAGAATAGCCGATGAAGAAAGTGCATTGGATATTGTATCTGTTTGTGAGCGAACTTTTCGTGGTGGTGATGGTGTGGAAAGTACCTGTGTATTGATTGGTGTTGATGATAATGAAAATGGTTTAGGACGGATAGTATATTCTTTACTCCAAATTGATTTGAGATATGGTGGAATAGTTGATGATGATGGACCAGGTGGACGATACTATTAGAAAGAAGAATGTTCTATAAAAAAAAAGTTATTAAACTATTAACTTACATTCCATTTACTTGGATCAAATTTATCAACTATACATTTTGTTTTTACATTTAAATTACCAATTGCATGTTGAAATGCAAGTGGTGTATCATCAAGTCTAAAAATATGATTTAAAAAAATCTTTCTAATCTATTAGTAACTTACTGTCCAGAAAATTTTAATTGATCATGATCGATATCATCTGGTAAAGGATTTAAATGTATTTGTTTTCTTTGTAAAGGATCGTAAACAATTTGATGAAGAAATGCTAAATGTGCTCGTTTAAAACCTATAATATAATCATCAGTAACACGAAGATTTAATTTGCCAAGATTTTGTGGTAATTGTTTAAGAATCTATCAAAGAAAGAAATAAAGAAGATGAAGAAGAATATTTTAAGACTATTACCAATTCAATATTTGTTATTTGAGTTCTACTCATAACTTTTTTTGCTTTAGCTAAACCAATTCCTGTTATATTATCAAGATAATCACATCCAGATAAAATACACATCCAACGAAATCGTTCAAATGTATCAAGACCAAATTCTTTTTTTATATCAAGTTTTGTTCTTTCAAATAATTCACCATTTCCTTGGTCATCAAGTTTAAATAAAATCTAAATATATTTTAAAAGAAACCACCAATACTTTCAAAAGAAATTCGTCTTTTTTTGTATTACAAACATGATGACAACCAAAAAGAACAAGATCTGAATCTTCTGTTATAACATAATCAGCTATTTTTGCTCGATTTAAATATGCTAATTGAGCATCAGCTTCATATGGTGCAACAATAACATCAATACCCATCGTTCGAAGAGTCTAAAATAATAAATCTATAATCAATAATCTAAATAATGATAAATAAAGTTCATACTCGAATAACATTTAAAACCATATCTGGTGTAATTTCAATAGCTTTTTGAAAAAATTGTTCAGCTTCACGAGTTTTACCACTAGCAAGTGCTTTTTGTGCACGTAAACGATTTCGTTCACGTTCACTTAAAAAACAAATAAATCAATTAATATAAAAAAAAAATTTCGAATTTTTTAAATTATACTCGCTACGATTAGCATTTGTAATTCGTTTTGCTGGTAATGCTGAACCATCAAAAACCATAATAGGTTTTATATTCCATTCAAGTAGTCTTTCAACAAATCGCGTCACATATACAATATATCTGTATAAGAAAACAAGAAAAAAACGGCTTAATTTTGATGAAATAAATAAAAAAAATATAAATAATTTACTTATCAGTCGATTCTTTTTTTGCTAATTTTCCAGCACATGCATAAGCTCCACGATGAAGTAAAAAACTTGTATCAACAGCACATGTTGTACCTCGAAATTCAGCCGTTTTTATATCAACACGATGAATAGCCGATTTAAGTAATGGATGAAGACCTTCAATTCCCATTTATTATTATATTCTTGTTTAATTACGGCTTATCGCAAAATAGAACAATTAAGATCTACAAAAAAAAAATACATTAGGCTTAAATAATAAAATTTTGATGAATAATCATTGATTTCTATAACGAATAAATGTAGATATGTAACGAAAAAGAAAAACAATGAAAACACATGTTGTTATAAAAGAAGATAACGAATCGAAATAAGGAAAAATAAGCCACTGTATGACAGTCATGTTCGTTAGAGAATTATTCTGTCTGTCTATAGTAAAAAAACATTTAGTCATATTTGTCTCTCTAATGAGTCAGTATAGATAATTTGACTGTTAAGAAACATATCTTTAGTTTATTTAATCAGAGAGTTAATAAAATCATGATTGTAAAAAGAAATTCTGCTTTGAATGCAGGGTTCATTAAATCTTTCAATTGAACTATAAATAATGAATATCTTCAAGATACAACAGCAATCATTAATAATAAAGAACTTGAATTGTATTTACTTTGATGCTATCTGTCAATAGTATGAGTAATGAAACTTCTAATTTATTTACTTTTTATTAAAAATTACTTTATAATTATCCCTTTTTGTGTCATATAGAGACATTTATCACAGTTGGACATCTACGATAACCTTCGAGAATACAAACTATTATATTATGATGAATAGTCAACGCTATTGTGATGATATTCAAAAGAAATGTTTGACATTTTATTCATATAATTATAGCACATTAGAAATGTTGATAATAACCGACAGAAAATATGTCATTTTCTAAGTATAATATTATTAGTAAATACCGTAGATTTATATCCATACATGCTGTCTTTTAGTGTATTTGAGAAACAATATGATACTACACTCCGATAAACATCTTTACTGTATTAATAAAATTCATATATCGAAAAGATTTTTATTTAGATAATCGCTTATTCTATCATTTGCTAATAATACATTCAAAAGTTCTGTTCTTCTTTTTATTTTTTATTTTCTTTCAATCTCATTCCATATATATGTTGATATATATATATCAGTCGATCATACAAAAAAAAATAATATACACACACAGACAAAGAAAAAACAATATTAAACAGAAACAAAAACTGTATCTGTCTAGAAAAAAAATCAATCAAAAAACTCAATCGGTGTGTTCCAATAATGGATAAACAATCATAGTGATTTTTTTTTTGTTTTATAAAAAAAAAAGACTTATTAATAATATTATTTTCTTTACAACACTCACACACTGAGATTATGTACAGTAATATAAAATCACATAAAATCAGACTTTTGTTTCGGGTCCCGTATTTAAATGGGCAAATGAATCTCTGAGTTTCGTCATTAATCGAGTTAGAACTGAACCATAGGCTTTTGTATACCATTCATGTGAACGTCCCATTAAATCAACACGACTTAAATGTGTTACTTTCGATTTTCCACATCCTAAAATAAGAAAAAAAAATTTATTTTTACTAATAAATATAAATCAAATCTTTTACCATAGGATTGTATTAAATACCGAGAGGCTAATGTAACAGCACGAACTAAATAATAAAGACAAAAAAATAGTTTCTTGATGTATTTAATAACAAAGTTTTACCAAGTGTTGGCGGACAATGTGCTTTTGGATGTTCAATTGATGTACAAACAAGAACACAGGCATCCCGTTTTTGATTATTTGGATTTTGCGTCGTAATAAATGATGCAATTGCACTTGATGATGCTGATGATGATGAACCAACCGGAAGTGCCATTAAAGTACTGTTGTTTGTTGATATAGAAGTTTGACAACTTCCATTTGTATTTAATTGAACATTAGTTCTCCAACTACGTACTTCACAAAAATACCGAGATGCTAAAGGTGCCTAAGTAATAAAAGAAGATAGAAAAAACAAAATTTTTTTTTCAAATAAAAATATTTACCATTGAATTAAGTGTATATTGATAAACATGTGTATTTTGACTTAACTGTTCTATGATTGTACCGGATTGAAAATCTAAATTATAATAAATGTTAAACAATCGTTTCTGAGTAACATCTTATTTTCGCTGCGCGAATGGTTAAATATAGTATAACTCTATACAAAGTGTCATGTGAATTTGTTAATTTACATATTCTATTAAAAGTGAATTAGTGAATCTAGCACAAAAAGTCAGTACGATGAAATTCTTGCTTCATAACATCATATTAAAATAATGTAATTAGATTAAGGTTCTAGAATTTTCATTTGTAAACAAAACATGTACGCATATAAAATATTGTTTTTATTCATCTTTAGATATACTAATATATAAGTATGTCTTTTTTCTATTTTCCAACAAATTATCATGAGTTTTCAGCAATCAATAAGTAATTTTATGATTCGTCTCTTTTCTATTCTAGAAAGTCTCGGATGTAATCATTCAGATGCACTTAACAAAAGATAATCAATTGATGCTTAGCTCAAACAATCGGATGATATAATTGCTAGAGTTCTCATTTTATAGCAAATGCACGTAAAATATGTTTTTTTTTAATAAATATTAGAAATTGTGATACAAACCATCATCCCATAAATGTCGTTCATTTAAAAGACGATTTAATATTTCAACAGGTGGTGCTTCAATTTCTGCTGAACATTTCCATAATCCAAGTGGATGTCCATCATCTAATTTTTTAAATGCTAATTCTAAATCATTATTAATACCAAATGATGTCCATCCTTTTAATTTATTATAACATGATTCACGCATAACTTCAACAATACAACGATCGATAAAACCTTGATAAGAATTTTTTACATTTGTTGTTATTGATGATGATGATAATAATTGTAAGGAAGTCGTATTTGTATCATCAGTAAATAAACGTGAAGATGAAAATGATTTTATTGTTGTTGGTGTTGTTTGAGATTTATTTGAATTTAAATTTTCATTTAAAAGTATATTTTCACATGATGATGATGCTGACGGGGATGATGATAATGATCCAATTGAATCTGATGCTGAGATTGTACCAATTTCTGTTGCACGTTGTTGTGCTGTACGTTTACCAACAAGATTACTTGATGAACATCGACGATATTTATTTAATATTGGTGTTGTTGTCGTTGTAATTATTGAGTTTGCTGTTGTTTCAGATACTCGACGTGCTAATTCTTCAAGTGTACATGGTTCACCAATTTCAATATAAGAAAAATGACATGCTTGATGAAGTTCATCCGGTACAAGAAATAATAATCGAACATGATCGATCATAACGGAAAGAATTTCCATAGCTTTACGTTGTTCTTGTATTTCTCTCCAATCAGGCATACCCATAATATTTGTTGATGGTATTGATTGGTGATGTTTTCGTGTTGATGATGGTAAATCAATCATTTCAATATTATTTGTATAACTATGAAATGAAAATAATGTTGGTGCAAAACAAGTTGCAAGATTAATTGAACTCATTTGATTTGTTTTTGAATGTTTTGAAACATCATTTAAAAATGATAAAAGTAAATGTAGAACAAGACGATTTTCATCTGGTAATAAAAGAACAGCATATTGTAATGAACGTAAACGTCGTTCATTATTTAATTTAATTGTTGTTGAATCAATTGATGTTGATGATGATAATGTTGAAAAATGTTCACTTATATTAAGAAATAATGGAGATAATTTCGTTGTAAATAAACATTCAGGTAATGAACGAAAATATTGTTTTAATACATCAGATACATCATATGGACTAAAATCATCAAATTGATGAAATTCAAGATCCGATTCAATTAAATCATGTAAACGTTTTATACGATTTGATACACCACTAAAAGAAGAAGAAGTTATATATTATTAATAGAACTTTTTTAATAAAATAATTTTTTTATTTATCTTCTTAATCGATTGAATGAGACATTAAAAAAAAGTGTATAGCTAAAAATAGACATCCTTAGGCAAAATTTGTCGTTTGACACAACAAGGTCGATGAACGGATTTTATGCCTTTGGCTTATATGCACCATTTATTTTTATATATACATTTAAAAATCAACCGTTCCACCGAGTAATACCCATACTCATTGAACTTTA